GAAATTATGAAGGAACCCTACATTTGTAGGCTTCCTATATACATCTATATCTAGTTTGTTCCTTTCTTTAATAAGTAAGACATCTAAACAGGGTAACTTACTGTCCTTTTCTAACTCCATAGTGAATTTAGTCGCCTTATCTACTGTATTCATTAACCTAAGGATCTGCGATGAGATTTATCAGTTTTCGTCACCTAATTCTTACCATACCTTAAAAATGCATAGTGTTTTTATTACTTGCAAAGCTCCATTTAATCGTATTTGCATTATCATAAGTCCCTTTAGTAAGTCTATAAAGGATTTATACATATATAATTTAGCTTTGCATTACAGCTGTTTGTTATTTGTACAAACGGTGAGCTAATAAATGAGCTTAACTAGGCCCTAAAGTTGCCAATAATTCATTTTTAATGGATTCTAGTGACCAAATTGACTTGGCTAAGCGACTTAATAATCAACCTTATATTAGAACTGTAGGAATTTGTTACAAATACACCAGATTCATGTTTGCCAAAATGATACTTTCTTAAAATTTGGATCAAGTCAAAGAGGTGGGGAAAATATATAAACTATGTTGCTTTGAAAGTATATTCTATCAACGATAATACAATTTCCTTTCTTTTAAAAGATTACTAGAATTTAAAAATGCGAACAAAAATAGGACAACGGTTGCGCCACCTTTTATTCAACCAGGATATTTCATATCTGGTAGGGGTGACGGGAGCCTGAGTTATCTTTTCTTAGTTTCTAAAATTTTTCTTTTCTCAATGTTTAAATACATAGAACAAAGCAAAGTTGACATTCAGCATCGTCTGGTATTTGTTCGGCCGGAGACTTCCCTTCTTCAAGCAATAGAAGTACTGGTACAGCATCGAGTGCATCGACTGCCAATCATTGATACTATTTCTGGGAACCCTTTGCATATTTTGACTCACAAACGCATTCTGAAATACCTCCATCTTAACGTAAGCTTTTGACAGCATCTTCCATAGATTTTACGTCTATAAAAGTGTTGATTTACATAATCTTGTATGCAATAGTGAATCTAGGTAATAGCTTAGTTCCTCTATGTCGCTTAAGGGGATTTAAAGATTGATAGTTGAGTTTTCCAATAATGAGATGATCAGGCATACGAAGCAATTTAAATTGAATTAGCCTTATCTCCCAAAGCCTATTTCACCCAGGGTGAACCCTCAGGTTTAGTCAACATCAAGATTTAACATCTGGTTGTGATTGTTGTGGTGGTATTACAGCTCCACTCGACTACATTGTCACGGGTAGCGTAGGCTAAAGACAGATTAGACACTCAAGGTAAACCAGGCTGTCTAACTTACATGTATTGCGGGATTATCGTTTGAGTAAACATGTTTTCCATTTCAATCGGTGAAGTTGCTTATTTTTCATATAAGTAGTTTAAGATACTATCATTAATTCTTGAATGACAGCCTAGACATTCTAGGTTGCTTGAGGTGGTTTAAAAATTCATATTTGTGTATTCCCACTATGATTGAAATGACAGACATGTTTTCTTAATTGAAAATCTCATGAATTATGAATTTGGATGAGCCTGGTATGATTACAATGTCGAATCTGCCTTGTGACTCAGTGGCTCTCGTGGTTGTCTAGTAGAGCCGTAATGTCTCCACGACCTGAGTCAAAATCCCGTTAAGAATGCTATTAAGACGAGATTAATTGAATTTGAAACCGCGGTATATATTTTGGGGGGCAAGGTGAAGTAAAATTCAAAGTCACCGCGAGGTCTACTCATTGTTTGAAAACTCAATTATCAATTCTTAATTCTGGCAATTTCCGGTATGCATACAAAATTGGTTTTTCTTGTTTTATAAAAAAATATTTAAAACGATAGAATATCACAATATTAAAAAAGTGATTAAATATATAGACAGCTTCTCTAACCTGGAGCTAAAAACATCACAAAGGAAGGAGTGAATAAACAATAAATATTTGGGTTATGTATAAACGTAGGATAGATTGTTTTCAGGGGAATGGAATAAGTCATACATTAAACTTAAATAAAAAAGTATTTATAAGTCTTATTTCGTCAATATTCTTCATTTTCACCAATGTATATCTTGTGTCATCTTACTAAAAAACGAAAAGTTCTTAATTGTTATATAAAATTTCACGATATATGAGAGCACATGATGAAAAGATTCATCGGTCGA